TACGCTTTATTATAATAGTATAGGTATATAGATAAATACAGTAATAACAAAATAAATTGAAACGATATGTTATTAAACATGGTGTGCTTTACTATTAATGAATTGTTTCTCTTTATATATTTGTTTTTTAATACAACCTTTGCCGCTCATTTCAATCTAGAAAGAATTTTTCAAAGGTTAATGGAATTATTTTCCATTATTCTACGAAAAAACAGATGGAAAAAACCTTACCATACTACGACTTTGTAATTCAGAAGCAGATTTACATTACATTATGTATAATTTATTTAACCGCAAGATAAACGAATGATTATCGTGTATGTAAGACATAATCGTATTATTCCAATTAAAATCCGCGTCAATAGAATTTAAAATAACATTGCCTTTAACGCTACACCACTCAATAATAACGATCATACAAGATATCTTGATTAATGAATTTAATTCATTCGGGTTCGAGTAATTAAAACTCTTTTATAAAGAAGATTCAAATCATTACCGCCTGTCTTATTCCACTATATGTTGAGGTGACGCATTACGTTTTCATTCTCCAGACAGATATATCTTCCTTTATTACAATCGTTCTCTCTTATTCTCCCTTTACTTTCATAGCCTATCCCTACAGATATAACCTCATTCAATAATGATTCGTTCTTTTGAACTGATTTTTCAGTAGTACTAAACAAAACACTATAGAGCAAAATATGTATTTTTACACATTGCATGACTTTATTGTTTACTGATGCCACACGGCATTGTTTAATATTCTGAAACCCGGAATTTCTTTGACCGCTGCCAGAATTTTAATGGGAACATCTTCGCTATAATATTTAAGTCAGTTCTATTTGGTCAAACCTGCTAAACTAGACTGAAAAAGAACAATTTCAACTAAGTTGGATTCTTCATTCAGTTTCACAGATTTAAATTAATTTTATTCATTTAAAATTCCTTTATTGGCTACAAATAAATCTTAAAATGATGCTTTATCATGAGAATGTAAACGTCATCTATTTAAACTCAGAAAAAAATAGCATTAGGTATTTATTTAGATTCAGAAACTCTATAGCGAAAAATCGTATTATAAAATGTTCATTTTATTTTTTATGCACACGAACCCCAGTACCGATAAGAAATATAAATACCAATAAAAAGTGTTTACGTGTGTACGTTAACACGAGACGTAATATTTTAATTTCAAAATGAACAAAATTATGACTAATTTCTTCAAAATAATGATCGTTAGGTACAAACACATTAAAATGAGTTCATTTAACTTTGACTTGGTTAGTTTTATAATTAGAAAAGGCACAATGTTAATTCGTGGCATGAAAAAAAGTTTTTTTATGCCGATTGATAGATTACATAGTTCTGTTTTATTTGTTTAATAACTGCTTTAATTTATGGTTTAAGATAAAATAGATTGAAGTTATGACCGAGTCACGCATGAATATTTCTATCACGATATAGTACTTAATATTTTAAACAGAAAACTGCATATAGACGAAACTCACGCGTAAATTTATAGATAACTTTATATTTTTACTTCTAATCTCCTAAGTAAGATACTTAGGAGATTAAAAGTTAAAAAAACCTTACGATACACATTAAAACCTTGGTGGTAAAAAATATAATTACAGATATAAACAAAATTTGTAGCATTTATGTAATAATTCTGAACAAAATTGTTTTTAAACCATTGTTTTTACCATGCATATGTACTATGTTTTCCATATAAATTGTTACAACAATGAAAAAATTATTACATCTACAAAAAATAGCACTGTTAACAGTCGTAGCTGGTATAAAAGTAGAATTCTATTGTATCACAAACAAATAAATTATTTCATTTGTATTGTGCAAGGTAAAGGTAATTATTGGTGACTTTACCTTAATTTGCCCTTGATTAGAATGAGATGTCGCTGTTTCGCGTAAATTGACTTAAGAAAATTATTTTTTTTTATAACATAAGGTGGCAAACGAGCAAGCGGCCTCCTGAAACCGCCAAAATGGCGAAGCGACCGCTGCCCATAGACATCCGCAATTGCAGATGCGTTGCCTACCCTTATAGGACAGAGGAGGAGACGCACATAAAGAGGATATTTCCCCTTCCTATTCATCTTCTCCATCGTCAAATCCACCTCCTCTTCCCAACCTCTCCTTATAAGAAAAGGGTGTTAAAGAGATAGGGACTTAAATTAGGCCTCCGGCACCACACTCATCAGACGAAACACGGCACTGCTTCCATTTCACGCCTGTCTTCTGTGTGGTCGTGGTATTGCACCGGGCGTGCCGGCCCTGCCGTGCTAAGATGTTAAAGCGGGCACTACCACTGTTTTTAACGCATTATATTTTCTTTATCGAAAAAGTTTACAAAATCAACCCAGTGTGTTTGAAATGTTATTAAAAAAACAATTGGCAATTTGAGTACGAATAATTAGAGGCACAAAAAATTACTTCAGTCTTATCTTTGATCTAAATGCATTTTAGTAGCGATTGTTCTTTACGTTATAGTGGGGTTTCCCTGCAGTTCTTCTTTGGTATATTCTCGGACTTATTAGTAAAGTATAGGTACAATGTTTTTTGTTTACAAAAATATATTTTTCATATTCTTATATTTATAAGTTTTACTATTGTTCTAATCGGCAAGAAATATTGTTTGCAAAAACATAAACAAAAACCAAATAAACATGTTTTTGTTTTGTTGCTTGTAAAAAAATTTTGTTGAGAGAAGGGTAAGAGGTCATCATTGTCATTCAGTTGCGGAAACTAAAGGATATGCAGATAAATATTACAATTTTACAATTCCAAGTTTCTTTCATTATTGAGAATCTCATAGGTGCTGTACATAATACATTAGCATGATTCAAACTTCTACAAGGCTAATAAATAAAGCCAAGGTTCATTACAAAAGAAAACTAGTCACTCTCATATACGAATCTTTATTCCGCAGAACAAAGACGTTTTTTTTTTGTCTAATTATCGACAAAATGTTGAACGTTTGGATTGAGTAAAAAATTGATGAGAATAATGAATAATAATTGTAAAAAAGCTAATCCTACAGAGAAACAACAACTACATAAAACGTTCATTTGATTTTGATTTATATATGGCTTTGAATGTTAAAACTCCAATACTTATATTGTTATGAGACGTAAACATTTATCTTGGTTTTTTAAAATAGCGCATGACATCTTTCCCTGTCCTTTTTGGTATGTATAACACCGAGTGAATAAATCGACATCAGCGACCGCCGGAGTCGCCAAAATAGCGAAGCGATCGCTGCCCACAGACATCCGCATTTTCAGTTATTTTGTCTACCCTAATTCAATAGTGGAGGAGACGCACAGAAAGAAGACTTTTCCCCAAACCATAGGCATGGCATAGGATTTAAGTAAGCCTTATTTTTAACTACTCCCACTTCCCATTGGGCAAGGGAAGAGGACTAAAATTAGGCCTTCGGCACGCACACTCATAAGACGAAACGCGGAATTGCTTCCACTTCACGCCTGTCTTCTGTGTGGTCGTGGTATTGTTCGTAGGGAGCCGGCTTAATCGTGCAAAGATGTTAAATCGGGCTCTACCACAGTTAAAAAGGTGTGGTTTATTTTCCAAGGTTATATGAATTTCATTAATTAACGGATACCCATCGAAATGACTTGTTAAAATAATCCTAATTGAAATGTAAATAATGTCACAGAACGTACAGTGAACTTGGTACTTACTTGTTAAATTACAATCTGTAAATATTTGTCCATTTATAGTCTTTTCGCTCACATAAATCCATAATGTCATTGATTTAAATTATAGGTATAAAACGCTCTTACAAAAAGGAATTGGTTTTTCAAAGCATAAATTTGTTTTTTTCATGTAGGTAAGTGACTAACATACCGATATATTAAACATTGATTCAATTTCTTAACTTTGAATCGAATCCGGGATACAAAAATTATAAATTAATCAGAATATTGTGATTGCTTAAGGCTTCGTTATGTGCACATAATAAAGTTTATTTAGCTTCTATTAATTACGAAGTATGTTTTGTAAAAAAAAGTAGATGGCGCTCTAATCAATTTAATACGTGTTTACATCAACACTAACTATTAATTATGCTCCTGAACAATTGGACAGGTGTGGTAAATAATATAACGGCTCCAAGAAATGGTAAATATCAAAACGTACTCCGGGAATTTTCCTATAATTTTTTCAGGTTATAATTTTCTCATTGAAAATATTTTCTTGCCTTTCAGAACTACGCAAGATATCAAATGTTGTTCGCCGTTTTTCTGATAAATGCAACAAAATTGCAAAAACCTGATGCAGTGATGTACTAAAACTATTATGGACGCCGAAGTTTTACGGTATAGAGTATTATAAGATAGAAATAAAACTGTTTCAGTTACCTATAGGTACAATACTCTTTTAATGCGAAACTCATTAAATTAACCCCACTAAGAGAAAATGCACTAACTTGAGAGACATTAAGGTTGAGTTCCACTGTGGCTTCACCAAGTTAAAGGTTTATTTGAATTATGACTACAAAAGCTATGAAAGCCGAATAAGATGAAATAAAACATAGTAGTTATACCTACTGCAAATGATCACACAATATCATAAACTTTGTTTGGATTCTATTATTCTATTTATTTTTCCATCCATGATTAATTTTTAAATTAGTTCTGCAATACGCTAATATGATTGGTCTATTCGAAGTATTAAAAGAAATCAAGTTAAAAACATTTGAGCATTAATAATCACTTAAAATCAACTTAATTCAAGCCATAAATATTCTAGACGACACAGACACGACACTAAACTAAAACAATATACACATGTTCTCTGCAAGCTGTGCTCATGATGAGCAGTAGCACCTCCCTGTGGCGACACTCCGGCAGAAGGAACTAGACGAGCGTCGGGAACAACAGGTAGTAGGCAGAGCTGTGCAGACGCACGAGGAGTCAAGTTGAAGGCGCGTGAAGCGATGTGATAAAAGAGCACAGACTGGGCGCGCGCCGCCAGTATCAAGCCGACCGCACGCCGCGCAGGCGCACTCCGCGTTCGAAATCTGCAAAGCGCGACTCGCATTCGCTACCCCAGCGCCCCCACTAAGTTTACACGGACCGCTCGGGACACTAAATGTCCACTGTCGGGTAGTGACTGTGCTCAACACCCGGTGCCCATCTCCCCGAGAGGATCTACCGAAATATACGGCCACAGGTGAGACAATGATGATTCCAACTATAATTATGAAATCACGGTGCGTCGTATGAATCATGTGATGAAGGGAACGACGGCTAATACAATATTTTACGTTACATTTAAACGAAATTAGTGCATAGTGATAACATCAAAGTTCTAAAACAGATATTTATTAAAAAAGAAATGTGAAACCACATGAATGAAAATTGAAAAAAGTTAACAGAAATCACCTATTACATTATCTCAAACGTTTTAACTAGATTGTACCGATAACGTAGTCTACGTTTTCCGTACCAGAAATACATGTTACGCAAACTCTCCTAGCGAACATGAACCTAAGCACATTTAAGTTATTTCCTTTAAAAAAAATTTTAAAACGATTAAGCAATATTTTGTTAAAACTGTACAAATTATTTAAGACACGAAATCCTAAAAATTAAGACACTATGCAATATTTACAATACAATTTACATACACACAAGATAAATATCCTTTTGACTAATGACGATGATGAAATTACTTAAAAGGCCTTTTCATAGAGCATTGAATACATAGAACTCCGATCAAAGGTCAATCGGTACAGCGATCGCGCAAGCCCATACGTACGAAACGTGAGTTTATATTTACGATCGCAAATGTTCAGGTAATGTCGCATTACCTGGTACGACAGTATTTATAAATTTGAAATGCTCGCGAGCGTGCACGGAACCTCGGTCACCGAACACCTCAGCGATTGTATCTCATTCAACTGATGCTTGCGAAACTTCGCTTCACATCGTGCTTCCTTCATAGGTGGACCGATAGTTACCGATGGGTAATAGTAGAAAACGTGCAATAAACGCAACCGTCTAAGAAAGGAGCTCGGTTTTGAAGCCAAGGATTCACCAAGGCGTTCCGAAGACGTTAGTATGCTGTTCGCGTGTGGCGGCGCAAAGCGTTGGACGTGTGACGTAAGGTCACCTCGAGTGGCCACTGACATGACATGAGATTAACTCGCTCCTACTATCGCCACACCGCTACGTACGCGATATCGCAATACCTTTTTTTCTGTTTGATATTTAAACAAATCAACGAACTTATCGCATTTTACTTGAAGTCGTAACAGCGAAATAATTACAAAAAGAACTGTCTTATTCAGATTAAAACTGCAAACTTGTGGATTTGTTAGTATTAACACAAAGCAGAAAATATAAACCATTAAGTCTGCTACAAAGAAAATTCATTTTTAGCTCTTTTCTATTAAAAAGACACGTCTAAGTTAGAAGTTCAACTGTATACATATATGTAAGAGTGAAAAATAATCTAAGAAAATCATTTGTCTGAATTTTTATTGTTAAAGTTGGAATTAGAAGGGTACAAGTATTTTAGTATATTATAATGTAAATATGCGCAATGTTTACATTTTACATATAGGTATATAACATTATATCTTTCGCTTATCGCAATGTAATAAATCAAAAACATCTTTTCAACACAAATGGTTCTTTATCAAACAATCTTGCAACACAAGAAAAATTGAAATTAATTAAATATATTTGTGACCGTGATCTTTGTAATTTGAAGGTTTTTCTCCCTTTATCGTCTGATTCTAAAACAATCAATCGTTATTTGTAATCATGAATATTATGTAATAACTAAAACATGTCAGTAACCGTGACCTTCTGGAATTGGATGGAAGGATAGGTGGAGGGATGGATGTTAGAGTTTGTAACCTAATCTGATAAGCGGATTTCGATGAAATTTGGCACCGATGTGGAAAAAATCTAGAAAAACACATAAACCAGTTACTAAGACTTTTTTTATTTCGACCGGATGGAATTGCGGACAAAAGCTAGTATATCAATAAATGGAAATAGATACAAAGGTCAGTAAGCTAAACAAGGAAAGCTGACATCGAAAATCCTTGAAAATTAAAACAAAATTAATAATAATGAATAACGCGACAAATACGTGTTCGGACATTTTATAGATTTCGGCCAACGCGAGTCAGGAAATTATCTATATTCAGTAACAAGTTGATATTGATTCGCCGGTTTTCGGTATACGACAACCGGTTACGTCAATGTCAGTAAAATTTCAATTATTATACCATATTATACATCCGTTTGCTATCGGATTCATATCTGCCTAAGATCCATAAAATTTCATTAATTTGAAATTTAAAATTAGTCACATTTAAATAATGATTATTGCTGTTTGACCGGAACTTTTTTTTAAACTATTTTTGCATTCTCGTTTATACGAACCAAAGCTAAGATCAAGTTAAAGAAGTTTTTTAAATCATGTTTTACGCATCATAGACACGAAAACATCTGAAAAAAGGTGCTATTGGCATCACACCTATGTGAAAATAATAAAAACAAACATAATCCGAATCCGTGAATTTTCGCTAACTGATGATTATCTAATATCTCTAGGAAGTAATACGTTTATTGACAAAATATTTATCCCCTACAAAACATTTGTTTTATTTCATTAGGCGATCCGCTCGAGCTTCGCCCGGGTGGCAAGCTTACCTTAGGACGAAAACCTGTTGCGCTGACCCTACGGTACAAGGGTGACGATGATATTTCTTGCTATATACAAAAGTATACTTCTCATTTTGTTACTCAGTGATAATCTAGATTTCTAATGGTGGAAGAATTTTTGAAATCCGTAGAGTAGTTTTGGAGCATCTTCAATGCAAACAATCAAATCTTTCCTCTATATAATATTAGTATAGTTGCTACAAATTGATTGCACATAGAAATATTGCAAATGAATAAAATACTGTACATATCTTAAAAGAAGACGTAAACTTTCTATATATGTCAATGTCATACAATAAAATCTAAATAATTTGCCTAAGTATTTGTTAAGAGTGTGTTGAATACATAAAGAATCTCTGTAGCTATATGGCGACATCGCAATGGAGGCTATCAATAGCCATTTACTGCATACGAGACCTTCAATTTGATAAATGTGAGGTGACAAATTGGGAGACCCGAGACGAGGATAGTCATTTGATGGTGGACTATGTGAGGGAGCACGTCCGAGTCGACCTCGCGAGTTCGACCTACGCCTGTAAATGTTTACATTTGTGCCGGGCACAACGCGCGTCGGCGTCGTCTACGGCGGCGCAACGACCAGCCATCAGTTGCAAAATGATCGCGGCCGAATCGAGTTCAGGGTCGAGCGCGTCGCCTCCGGGTGTTGCGCAAACGCCGCGGGTCTTCAGCTCCGAGCCTTCGTCGCCTGCGCCCCAGCCCGCCCGGCGCTTCCCCAGCTTGCACCAATTCTAATCTAATCGCACCGCACACCGAACATCACACATACACGTCAATATAACAACCAATGCACAGAATTTAAATTAACCATAGATACGACTTGAAGGTTCACGACGACCTGCTTAATAGATGTTCGACCTTTATAATTGTACAAGTCACTTTAATGACAAGAGAATTTAAAGAAAAATTAAAACATCGATTTTTAAAATGTTTGTAATGTATAGCAGTATTTACTGATGTAGAATATATTAAGTTATGGATGATAACAATTTGGTCTTATTATCTTCCAATTTTAATGAGATCACAATGTTTTGGCAAATATTTTAAATATCACCTTATTTGTTTATATTAACAATGATCTCGGTATAATATATAAAAACAATATCGTAACATTAGCGTAATATTATTACGAAAATAGGTAACTGGGTATCTTTTAAACATTGTTGCATTTTGGCGAGGTTACGATTGGAATAAATTCCACATGTATATATATTTGCACACATGGAGTTTTATCAACCTTTTCCACTAAGTTACCAATACCTTTGCTTATATGGTATGGTATTTATTCAATAGTTTTTTTGGAAAATGTAAGATAATTTTAATAAGAATAATCATAAGTATGTACGATGAACTGATGCACTCTATATTTACTTCAATTACAAATAGAAGTAAAAAAAATAATCGAAAGTTTATATATGGAAATAACACTTATGTATTTTGTGGACACCTTATTGACTCTACATATACTGTTATCTAGAGAAGTAATTTTATCTTTATAAAAAATAAATACTTAAAACATAAAAAATTAAAAGTATAAAACATACATACTTTTTATTACGTAAATGCTTATAAAGCAAATTTTCGCTTAAACAAACATATAAAGCGCTATAATCTAAGAGCAAACATGAACTAAATATTAATCATAGCATGATACGTTGAATGATATGAACTCGGTTGCAATAAACGTTCCACGCCCACAAAGATATCACACTATTTAAAGTGATTAATAACGTCTCACTGAATTACGGAATCGAGACTACCGTACCCATTGTGTTGGAATGCGAGCCTATTCGAAGAGGAATACATTAGTCTTTTATTCTGATAACACATGCCTGTCATTGTTTCCATAAAATTGCATTGCAGTACTTGTTAATCGAGATTTCTTTTCCTTTTCATTGTGCTGGACTATAATTCAAAGACCAACACATTAGAACTCTGTAATTGTGTTCATTCTTAGAGAGACCACAACTGAACAGACCTACTATCTATAGTTAGAATAACTACAGGATTACAAATTAGGTCGTTCATTTTGGACGTAACGATTGATCTCTCAGTCGATAAGTAGAGCACACAGCTGATAACGAACGATTAATGTTGTTCGCGACAGATAATCCGTCACTGCCAGGTAATGTTCTAATCCATACTGATAAAGTTAACCAGACATTACTTGTTCTCAAAACCTGGAAATATCCTTTAGAAAACAGACAGTTAGGCTTCTAAACCGGTAAGTATATGTAAATGAAAGGAACGCAATCATTAGCGCCCTCTTTGATCAAATCGCTTGCATAAAATCTTTGTCAGATTGTGGTAATAGGTTTTACTGTTTAGTATAATATCTGGTACATATTTCCTGACAGAATGACCAGCGATAACATCGCCTCTCTCACCTGGACGGGTAACTTTGTCGCAGTATGCGGTTGTTTGAAACAAAACCGGTGAATGTGAACTCGTCGGCCGTGATGTATTTGAACG